TAATACATTTCTGGGAGAAATACAAATTTTTGTCAAGAGGAAATACTGCTGGAAATTTACTTTGGATTTCTAATACCTGCTGGGATTAAAGGATTTACTGTGTGCACCTTTTGCGTGTTTATAAGGGCTGTATTGCTCTGGAACAGAAAAAGTAGGAGTTATGCAAGATTTATCCTGCAGATGATGTAGCCATTTATAGTAATGTATTGTTATATTATGATAATGTTGAGAATATTATGATAATGTTTTTCACATTTTCCCCATATTACCAGTCATCTATAAAGCTTGGCTGTATTGCCTGTGAGTGTTTTACAAAAAGGGGGGGAAATCAGAGATAAAATGACAAAATGAATGAAAACCTTAGAATAGAGGTCATTTTTACTACAATGTTCGATGCTTGTTCCTATTTATCTAACTATCTAAGCACCAGTACCATAACATATGAATTGAATGTGAAGTTAGACATGCAGTGATGTTTTGGACTAGTGTGAGTAAATATCACCTTACAGTGATGGATTTCACTTGAATGCAAAATCTGCTGGTGCTCTATGAACAGTATATTGGCAATGCTTCTGTAAATGGCATGTGGGAGCCTGCTGTAGTGATTTAGCCAAATATTGGGGTCAGACACACACATCCTCAATCTCTTTCATATTTTGAATCTGCACAATATCATGGTAATATATACAGATACTTTGCCAAGCTAGTAAGTCATGAGACTGGGAAGTGAGAACCATTTATATGACAGATTTGACTTGAGGGCGTGATATCAGATTGTGATGGCAGGAAGGATCAAGGAGCTCTGTTACACAGATTCCAGTGATGTCATGTTTAGTGATATCAGGTGAAGATGGCAAAAAGGTTCAAAGAGCTCTGCTGCACATATTGCAGTGATGTCATCTTTAGTGATATCAGATGAAGATGGCACAAAAGTTCAAAGAGCTCTGCTGCGCATATTGCAGTGATGTCATCTTTAGTGATCGCAAAAAGGATCATGGAGCTCTCTTTTAAAGATTGCAGAGATACCATCTTCAGTGATATCAGATGAAGATGACAGAAACATTCAAAGAGCTCTGCTCCGCTGATTGCAGTGATGTTATATTTGGTGATATCAGATGAAGATAGCAAAAAGGATCAAGGAGCTCTCTATCATAGATTGCAGTGATGCCATCTTTAGCGATATCAGATGACGATGGCACAAAAAATTCAAAGAGTTGTGTTGCACGGATCCCAGTGATGTCACCCCTAATGATCTCTGTATCAGATGTGGAATAGCTCACATTTACATGTCAGCTTGGATGGGAAGGCACTGTATCATATCTCATAATGAGCTGTTTGCTTGACTGACTGTTCCAGGCTGCTGAATAGAAAACTTACTGTTTGTTTGAGATGGATGCTGCCCCTGATTTCAATGACTGGTCTTTCTTGCCTGTTCTCATTCATTTGTTTGTAACGCAGGTATTGTGTTATTTAAATTGCTTACCTGGTGGAATAGCAGAGGAGAGATGAGGCTGAGAAATAACGCGGGCGTGAGGAAACGGTGAAACCTGGCGCCCGCAAGGAGAGGAGTGAGGGGGATGAAAGCGGAGGCTCGGGCAGCTGGGGGGAAGGCGGGGGCACCGCCATGCCTAGTGACGGACACCTGCGGGTCGTTCTGGAAGCACCTGGAGCCCTGGCACACGGGAGAGCTGGGGGCTCTCGGTCACATGGGTGACACGGTGTGTGTTTATGGGGGTGGGGTGTTCGGGGCAAGTTTGATCCCCATCAATGTTGATAACAAACCTACGCCCTTGCTGTTTAAGTTAATGCTCTCCTAATTTGGAATATGTTATTTAATTTCCACCTTCTGACAAGCTCTTTTCCAGCATTTTATCCTCATGGCGCAGTAGTTCCAATTTATCCTGGCAGTTGAATGTCTTGTAAAAGCATAAAAATGCCTAATTTAAATTCTTCCTTTCGATAAGCAAACGTTCTTCAGAATTTTCCAGTTTATGGCATCACCGTGCTTTTTATAATTACGTGTTGCTTACTTTCGGAATTTAATTAGTGGAGCATTTTAAAAATTAAAAAAAATATATAGCCTCCCTTGGGAAAGAAAATGGTGGTAATTATCAGATGGTGGTAATTATTTGCTTTCACTCTAGATGTACTGGTTTAGTAGACTGTAAACACTAGTAGCAGTATCTCGCCATGAGAAAAGAAAAGAATTGCAGTTGTCAGTTTCCCCTACTGGTGTTCTAAGGAAAAAATTAGATCCTTGACATACAGGTATGAGGTTGACGGCTCCGGCTGACATTCGTCTTGTTAAAAAATTCACAGAAAACCCAGTTTGAGCTACAGAGATATCTACAGAGTGCAGGGAAAGACTTGCTTCATCAGCTCTCAACCTATAAACAATATCATTGCCACAGAGATCATTGATTATATATCATGCAACATTTTTAGAAAAACATTATTTATTGTGATTTATCTTGTGCTTACGTAAAAAATATATAGTGAAATATATATATTCTTAGAATATATAGTGAAACACCATATTATATATTTACATAAATAATAAGAAATGCTAGTTATGTTTAATAAAGAAGGCCTACATATGGTATGTGCTCCCACGATATATAAAAAAAAAAATCTCCCCCAAAAATGACTGCTGCACTTCTAGAAGTTTCCGGTCTGCTGGTGGTATGCAGTGCAGCCATTTCAGTGATGGAAAAAGGCGTGAGACACAAACAGAAGGATGTTCCTTTTCCTGTACTATAAATATGCATCGGCTTAATAAGATGATCCGAGGCAAGTCTTGCTGTACAATCCGTGTCCGTATTTGGTATCTTCCTGCCAAGCCTTGCCTGCGTTTTTTAAACTGTTAAGCACTTAATCATTCTCCTCCCAAGCAGGCCGCTTTCCTTCATGTGAATGAGTCTTGTTGTAGTCTTTATGTTTGGTCAAGTTCACACTTCCAGACCTGTGTAGTCTTCTTCCGCGTGATTATACACTTCCTTTCTGTCAGACCCTGACAACCTGCAGAAAAGCAGATCTTTAAAACCTACTAATCACAACAGCGAGGAAATGTAAATCTATTCTCTGGGCTACCTTCCAGGACAGGTAAACTGACACTGTCTGCTGGTTTTCCTTGAGGGCTTCCTCTGGTAAATGTACTAATTTTTCACTCAGATTAACGGCTGTTCAAGGCAGTCTGCGATCCATTCTGCGCAGAAAAACAAACACGGGCTCAGTGCCGTAAGCAAATATTTACAGTAAAACTTAATATAATGCAAACTGCTTCATTGGCTTTTCAGATATACGCTCCGCCATGTCTAAATTTAGGCTGTAAAGAAATGGCTGTCCCAGACAGTATTTAAAAATTAATTCAAGGATAGGCTCCAGACCCCCAATGACTTTGAATAGGACAAACAATTACAAAATATGGATCGACGGATAGAACTGATGCTTCATAAAAGTTATTTCACTTTGAAGACATCATGTCCTTCCTCAGAGAGAACAAGGAAATATATTTTACTTCTAGAAGGGGCTGTGTGTTCAGAAGTGTTCCGGTACCATTAACAATGACACAGCGTAATCCATGATCTGCCTTTAAATGGATCTTGTCATTCGTCTGTGTACATCATGTCTGTCAAGGCAGCTATTGAGTGACCGTGAAAAGCCGACTCATCTCCTCCGTCGATTCCTTCAAACCTCTATCCCGTGCTGATCTCCCAGATAAGTGTGTTCAACTGCTCTCAGAGAGATGCGTCCCCGCGTCTGTAATGAGTTGCGGAAATTGCTTCTTGCCGGCTGTAATTTCTGTGTCCCGTGTTCCATGTCGCTGTTTTCTGGTCTGGCCCAGGAGTAGGCGGAATCCGAGGATTTGGACCAAAGGTGTGAGCGCTGTAATTTATGGCTGATGCAAACGTCTAAAGATCACCAAGACCGAGCAATAATGGAGAACATGCAAAGCGACTCACCATAGAGCGTCAGAGGGTTATACATGACAAAAGTGCCCTCCATCTTTTTTTTCCCGCATCTTTTGGTTTTGACGGGAGTGAGGCATCCGTTGACCCCCCCAGTACATTTTATACAGACTTTTGTCCTCCTTTGCTATCACTGTAGTCAAAATGACTACAGGGTACCACACAGACCTCCTGCTGTTAGCGATAACTCACAGCGCCTCAGCAACCTACAATACCTTCCTGTTCAGCCGTCACAGACTGTCAGATAGAAGCCAGGCAAGCTCTCGATGACCTGTGATTACTGGCCGGCCTCTGAATTTAGGATTTTTTAGATTACTTGCTGCTCAGATCCCTACCGATTCTTTTAAACTTATGAAGTACATCCTGATAAGCTGACTTGAAAAAGATTATTATTAAAATATGTCTGATCTCCATGGTGTATTTTTTTTTCCAAGGAAGCGATAAGCCACCAGGCTTTGTCGAAGTACAGGTGGGAATTAAGTGTCTTATGTGTGTAATTTCTTTTCCATTAAGAGTGATATGCCTAGAATTTATTAGGTAATAGTCTGTGCAAAAGCGGACAGCTCCAACCCCTTCTGATGGCGTTTGAAAGAAAAGGAAGAGAATGCTATCCTTTCAGGATATATCCCGTGAATACTAGGGGCTGCTGGTCAATTTGCATTTGAGAAAGTCAGATAACCAAATGTCATTCAAACCAGATGATCGGGCCTGGTATCGGCTGTCGGAAGGAGAGTCGTTTTCTGGCGTGCGAGGAATTTATTTCTAATATCATATGTTTGGGGAAAAAAGTGATGATGAAGTCGTGATAGAGCACGTGCGAGCCCACAACCAAATTTTCGTTTGCAAATGAAAGGTAAATTTGCCCTGGTGGAGGCAAATCGAAAGGTGAACAGGTTAGTGTGTTAGTAATATTGCATGAGGACAAATTTGCTGGGTCTTTTAATGCTACTTATTAGAAACGAACCATTGAGTACAGATTGTTATAAGTACTTCTGCACTGTAATATATTAAGATACGTTTTTCTCTTTTTAGATGGGAAGGTGGAGGTGACAAAAGAGGGAGTGAAGCTTTGCACCATGGGTCCAGGAAAGGTGTTTGGAGAGCTGGCCATTCTCTACAACTGCACCCGGACAGCCACAGTCAAGAGTAAGCCCTAATTTTCTTCTAAGCTACCCCACCCCCCTCGCCCCAGAACTTCTGGAATGTTCCACCAAGCACTCTCTGAATCCAGTGACACAATCCGCATGTGGGTAGACAATTTAGCATAATATCGTAAAATGCATTGAATAAAAAATGACTTGACAGATTCTCCCTTTTTATTATTACAGCTGTAACTATGACATCACTATCACATCACTAAGATACATGTGATGTGTTAGAGAATAGTCAGTATTTTCAGATCTTAACTGCACTGGATCAACTGAATACTTTTTTCCTCTCGACTTGTAAAGTTTGAGCTCAGTATTACGTGATGCACTCTGGAGAAGTTTCTAGAATGAAACACGGAGACAAAGCAATTTCATTAGACGCAGGTAAAGTTAATGTGATGGAAAAGGCAAATTGAAACGGATGCTTCCATTAAGGAGCCATACTGCTGGTTCCCCCATCCAAACCAGTCACATTTTTCAACTTTTGTCTGCTTCCAGGACAAAAACAAATGCAAATTCTCCGAGCAGCAGCTGCAGCTTTCTGAAATCTGATTAGGCATTTTTATTTGCGCCATCCACTTAAATTGTTTTCATAATTCAAACTTGAGAGTACTTTGGAATATTTTTCATGCGTCTCACACGCGCACACACACATGCACACTCTCTCAGTCTCTCTCGCTTATATTCAATTATATATGAAATACTTTGGAAAGAAATTAGGGCCTTTAATGAGACTATTATCTTGGTAATACGCCAGATTTATCAGTAATGTCAGAACTGAAAAACATCCTTAGACGAAAGATCAGTTAGATTTTGAACCATATTTGTGACTGAAGTTGCATGTGACTGAAGTTATATGTCCTGTTAGGTCACTTCTGATTCTTGGACAGATGAAAAATAGTCCTTGCTTTGTTTACTAACTAGCCGTCACTGTGCCCCCCAAGATCTATCTGTCTGTGCCTTAATGCCCGGTTTAATGCCCATGGAGATGCATGAGGTCCATGCATTTAGTCAGAGGCGATTGTAGGGACATTCCAACACACCCCGCCCAACATGGTAACATTTAAGGCCTATTTTACCGTAGCGGCGAGGATGATGGGGCAGAATGTCCAGGCCTGTCAGGTGACCTGCGGCCCGAAGTGTTTTACGTGTGGAAATTTCCAGAAGGGGGATTTGGTACAAGCTTAGGAAACTGCCTCCGTCTATGTCAGCCCTGATGTCTGGCAGTTACTCACTGCGCTTTTTCGGGCCAAATCAATTCAGCGGCGGGCAAACGATGGACACATCCCACCGCAAAATGAGAGGGCAGTGAGGTAAATGGAGCTTTTGTGGCACTTTAATAACCTCTGCCTTTAAAAACACACTGAATACAATTGGTTGGGGTGGAAATAAAATTGCTGTTGTCCCCGTTAAATGGGATATACGCGTATCAGTTCTGCTGTGGTTACGAATAACAGATGAAGTGATTTTGGTTGGGGTCTGGTGTGCAGCAGGATTACACAGCAGGAACTGTCAGAATGTTTCAGTGTTTTGCTTGGGATCAGCTGCAGCAACTGAAATATGTTCCTATACAAAAACCCAACACAATAAACGAAACGAACGACAACATTACAGGCGCACATTCGTTAGTATAGATGCATGGAAACACAATGGCATTAGCGCGATCACTTTTTGTGGACAGTTAGAGAAAACTAACATAATCTCTCTCTCTCTCTCTCACACACACACACACGCACAGACATACCCTGACAGTTTCTCCTTCCTTTCTGCTGTTTCGAATGGTTCCTCCACCTGTTATTTTTGCACATTTTATTCCAAGTGACAGGTCCATCAAAGCTGGGGTTTTTCAGCCTGGGGTTTGCATCCCCTGGGCATCGGTGCAGTGGCTTAGAGGGTCTGCAGAAATGTATCATGATCTGGTGAGATGCAAGAGGGACCCTAATTGGAGCTGGAAAATGTTCAAGGGGACCGCCCCCCCGTCTTACCCTGGAGAGCTGTTACCGAACCATCAAAGCCCCTCTCCCAACCTTTAGTATTTAGTCACTTAGGTGATCATGTTTTTAAATATGGTGTCCCTGGTTTGAGAAGGATTGAAGACCCTCACACTAAAGCCAAGTGGCTGTCCTCCCATCAGTCCAGCATCCCTTTGGATGCATGGAAATGGACATATGGAATGGAAAGACCCAGCTTCAAGTATGATAAGTGAGGCGACACTGAGCATCCGCATGGATCTTGATGAAAAAACTAAGGTCAAAGTGATGATGTTCCTGGATCGGACCTCAGGAGGACCAGCCTCGCAAACAGTGGGGCACAGTGGGGGACAGTGGGGGACAGGCCACCCTGTCCCAAGAGACTGCGGCCACTTCGCTGGGTTCGTCCGAATTGCTTGGCTTGTCGGCGTTCATAAAAGGCATTCCAACTAGCAAATTTAAGGCTTGAGGCATGTTGGGGGGGGGGGGGGGGGGCACTGCACTGCTGTGCTAGTCCTTCCCTTCAGACTCTGCTCGCTTACCGTGCGCCTGTTGCCATAGACACGTGTCCAGCCTGATTTTACTGAGCCTCAGGAGAGAGGGAGGGAGCAAGACTTCACACTGCCATATAGTCCTGTGCATGGCACAGATCCAGGAAGGGACTTCAGTTTTATTAATGCAACTGTTATGGGTTTAGAACCCAGCTCCTGATGTAGCGGATGGGTGACATTGAGAATCGGATCCAGTACCATAGATGAGGGACGCGGTGGGGGGGCTTCCGGGAAAGGTTTTTTTTGTTGTTGAAATGTACCATAACTTGCTGCCCAGCTACTAGGAACTATATGGTTATAAACTTGTAGAACATATGACCGTGTGACCATTGGATCGTTAGGTTGAAATGTAATTTGCTTAAATTCAAGCAGTATGACATCTGGAATACAGCATATAAGGATTCAGTTAGGATGAACTGTTCATGTACTGTCAGCTTATTAATATTACAGAATATGTAAATATTTATCTGTGTGAAATCCAAGCCCTTTCGATAATGGACGCGTCTGAATGTAACGTGCTTTGAGAAGAGACTTACAGAGTTCGTTATTTCACATCATCAGACAGCCGCTGCGGGTGGGGATCCACACAAGCCCCTTCCATTTTTAGTGTGAAATGATTTATCGATCGCAGTCTTTAATTTCAGGAAGCTAATCTCGATGAATGGGTACATTTTACTGACGTTTTGACTGAGGTGTGGCACTGCTGAGTCACACGGATGGATTTGCATGTTCATGTACACCTATTGCTTCTGCTGTTTTTCAGAGTCTCCTAGAATGACAGCGTCTGGCCTTAACTCTCACTGTTTTACATACCTCCGTCCGACCGGCTGTATTTTGATCTGTGAAAAGGTGTCGTGTGTATTAGATTATTGTGTGTGGCCTTGTTTGGATGTTTCCTTGCTGTGGAAACCTTATAAAGTCAGACAGTAGTGTTTGATGAGAGTACTGACCACATAATCTGCTTTCGATACGCGGTTAAAGGTGGGACACAACTGGGCACAGACATGAGTCACCATTTATCTTTGGTTTAAGAGGACACCCGGTGTTTCTGCAGGCGAATAATGAGCATGATGAGTGTATGTGATGAAATGTGGCCAAACAGTGCAGGTGGGCCAAATGCGGCTGAAAGAGCTGTGAGATGCCGTCAAGGCAGCTGTGATTTACTGGGGGCTGTGAGCCTCCTCCCCGAGCTTTCAGAGTGCCGTGGTCTGCAGGCGAGTGAGGGCGGTCTGCTGATGTCGGTCGAGGTACACGCTGACTCCTTTCCTCCATTACCAGGAGTTACCCATAATGCACTTGACTTTCTCGACCTGATCTCATCACGAACTTTACAGGGATTTGCAGCAGTAAATTAGTTTTGGGGGCCCAATCGTAATCGTAAGTGTCCAGGTGTTATAAATTCACATCATTTAGTGTATTACCAAATCTTGAGGGAGTGTGTGGCTGGGCGGGTTAGGATTTGTGATGGGAAGGTCACTGGTTCGCATCCCCGGGCAGACACAGTGATGCCACCATCGGCCCCCTGGGCGGCACCCCTTAAGGGCCTGCAGAGGTGCCAGACGTTGGCTCTCCCCGCGCTGTGGCTCTAAAGCTGGCTCTCGTGTGTCTGTGTGTCTCATGGGTGAAAAAGGGGAAAAGAGAACTACCCCATGGTATCACTATTTTATACGTGCATAACATACATTCCAACTATTTTTTTCAATTAAGTTTGAATAATGAGGTCAGCAAGGATTTACTTTACAAAATGATGCTATAAAAGTAGATTTTTATAGACGACAGAGTAAATAGATGTTCATTATCTCGCCGTCCTCACCCCTGGAGTTTGTAGCGCTATATCTCTGACACAAAGTAATTCACTATTAAAGAACAGCAAGATAATAAAGATGAATCTCCTGTCAGACTCTTATCAGTGAAGAGGAACGCCACATTTGATGATACCACACTCAGAAAACACCGAAAGCGATGGTGCTGTGTTATCTGTGATTTTGCACTTTACCTGAAATACATTGTAGAATTTTTCCCTCTTTCACTATTGCCAACCCCACCTGTGCCTGACACATCTCCATTGGTGACTGCTTTTCACAAGTTGATTTGAAACGCAGTCATTAACTCTATAAATATATGATTAACTCTATATCCCACTGCCCCATCTTGTTTGGCTAAGCAATTCCATATTGAGTTATTTGGCTAATTAAGTTAAATTTCACCGCCAGCTCAATTTATTAATTTTCAAATGCTTGGAATGGCTGAAGGAAAGGTTTGGGAGCCAAAGCAGTGTTCATTTAGCAATCCTGATATTGTTTTGTTGTGTTACTGTTAATTTTCTTATGTTTTGATGTTAAATTGTGTTGCTTTTTCTGTGCAAATATACACTTACTACCAAGATAAATACCTTAACATTGTCTTTGACTGCCTAAGACTTTTGCACAGTATTGTACAGTATGAGTAAAGCTCTTGCTATCCCTGTGTGTGTAGCT